TGCAATAATAATAACAGGGGTCGGACTCTAACTGTGGAGGGTTGCAATTCATTTCGAGGTGTGAATGGTGACCCGGGGGCTAAAACCCATCGCTAAAGGGGTCCAAAAATCGTATTGGGAGTCGGACTCTCCGCTAAAAGGGTTCAACTCTCACTTTACTTGGGTGTTTGAACGATTTTTCGGGGGTTACGAACCACCACCAAATGGGTAGAAAAATGTTTTTGGGGGTTCGACACTTCGTTAAGGGGGGTACAAGTTTAATTCGGGTTCAAACGCTGAGTCAGGGGGGTACGACCGACTGCTTTAAGGTAACAATTATTACTTCCGTGGGCGTACCATAACTTAGGGAGGTTGGAACTTGTTTTGGGGGTTCGCAGAATTACTTGGGGGTGCGACTCACCTCTGTAAGGGTAAAAACACCATTCCGAGTGAGCGAGTGGATGTTGAGAGGGCTGCAATTCAATTTTGGGGTCCGAATAATTCTTTCGGGGGGTAGGACCCACCACAAAACCGGTAGAAAATTATTTTGGGGGTCCGAGACTTTGTTAAGGGGGCTAGAAGTTGATTTCGGGCTGAAACGCTAAGTTGGGGGGTACAACCGACCGCGTTAAGGTAAAAATAATTATTTTTGGAGGTGTACCGTGAATTAAGGGGGGTTGAAACTTGTTTTGGGGGTTTGCACGTTTACTTCAGGATCTGACTCACGTTTGTTAGGGTAAAAAACTGTTTTGGGAGAGCGAGTAGGTGTTGAGAGGGGTGTAATCCACTTTTGGGGTCGGAAGGCTTCTGCGGAGGGTACGGCCCGCCGCTAAAGGGGTTGAAAATTTATGAGACCTCGAATAACCTTTCGGGGGGTACGACCCACCACCAAAGGGGTAGAAAAATGCTTTTGGGGTTCCGACACTTCGTTAAGGAGGATACAAGTTTATTTCGGGTCGAAAGGATGAGTTGGGGGGGTACGACCGACCGCTTTAGGGTAACAATAATTATTTTCGGGGGCGTACCGTGACTTAAGGGGGTTTGAAACTTGTATTGGGGGTTCGCAGGATTACTTGGGGGTGCGACTCACCTCTGTAAGGGTGAAAACACAATTGCAGATGAGCGGGCAAATGTTGAGAGGGTTGCAATTCAAATTTGGGGTCGGATGGATTTTTTCGGGGGGTAGGACTCACCACCAAAGGGGTAGAAAAATCATTATGGGGGTCCGACACTTTGTTAGGGGGGCTAGAAGTTGATTTCGGGTCAGAACGTTGACTTCGGGGGTTTGACCGACCGCTACTTTGGGGGGTGTACTGTGACCTAAAGGGGGTAGAAACTAGTTTGGGGGTTTGAATGATTACTTCGGGGTCTGACTCACGTCTGACAGGGTACAAAAAATAATTTGGGAGAGCGAGTAGGTGTTGAAAGAGGTGCTATTCAGTTTTGGGGTTAGATGGGGTTGAAACGCTTTTGCGGAGGGTACGGCCCGCCACTAAAAGGGTTGAAAAATAATTTTTGGTGTCCGACACTTTGTTAAGGGGAGTAAACATTATTTTGAGGGCGAGAACGATTTTTAAGGGGGTACGACCCACCAGCAAGAGCTAGAAAAATACTTTTGGGAATCCGACATTTTGTTAGGGGCGGTACAAGTTGATTTCGGGTCGAAATGATGATGGGGGGTACGACCAACCGCTTTAAGGTAACAATAATTATTTCCCGGGGCGTACCGTAACTTAAGGGGGTTTGAAACTAGTTTAAGGGGTTCGCACGATTACTTAGGGGTGCGAGTCACCAATTTGGGTGAGCGAGTGGATGTTGAGAAGGGTGCAATTCAATTTTGGGGTCTGAACGATTGTTTGCGGGGGTATGACCCACCACTAAAGGGATAGAAAAATGATTTTTAGGGGTTCGACACTTTGTTAAGGGTGGGAGAAGTTGATTTCGGGGTGAGAACGTTGACTTGGGGGGTACTATCGGCCGCTTTAACATAGAAATAATTACTTTGGGGGTGTACTGTGACTTAAGGCGGTAGAAACTAGTTTTAAGGGTTTGCACGATCACTTGGGGGTCTGGCTGACGTCTGAAAGGATACAAGAAAACATTTCAGGAGAGCGAGTAGGTGCTGAGAGGGGGGTCCAAACGATTTTGCGAAGGGTACGGTCCGCCACTAAAGGTGTTGAAATTTCATTTTCGGGGTCCGACACTTTGGTAAGGGGTGTAGAGATTGATTTCCGGTTGAAGGGTGCGACTCACCTCTGTAAGGGATCAATTATTATTTTGCGGGCGTTACGACCGATCGCCAAAAGGGTAGAATAATGATTTTAGGGGTCCGAGATTTTGCTGAAGGGGTAGACAGAGTCAGGAACACCTCTGCAAAATACAGAGTCAAAACACGCAGTGGAAGGCAGATGTGTCACAAAGCCGTTGTGCTTAACTTTTGTTTGTTTACAGAACTACATACCCGACCAAGTTTATACCGTGCAAAAAGCTGAAGCTCCCCAAGGAGCCGGGTTACAGAACAAAAAATCCGGCCAAGTTCGTACCGTGCAAAAAACCGATTCGTCTCCCCAAGGATTTGTTAACCCACTGAACACCACTTCAGAAGTAAACCTCCACAGTCAACAGGAGAGAGCAAACGACACAATCAATAACACTAAAGTCAACAACACAAGTTCAACTAAACCAATTACTAACCTTGCATCCAAAGCCAAACCTCTAAGCAGTAAACCATATACCTTACATGCCCTCCTTCTATCCCGTAACTCCTCTGCTCCCCATTACCCCGAACATCCTTCCCCCAATTAGGGTTTAGCGCTTAAGGACAAGCAGCTTCTTAAATTTAGAAGGAGAAAACACAGTCAAAGACTATAAAGTACTACCGTGCAAAAAAAGGAAGGGCAAGGGTAAAAGTTAAGGTTACAGAGGAATGCTGAACTAACTCCACCAGCAATCCACACAGATTCGACAGGCAACTTAAGTCAGCGCACACAGGCAGCTGAAGTCTGAGAGGAAAAGCGTAAGTCAGTCCCTACAGGCAGCCTTCAACAACTGCAAGACAAGTCCTTAATCCTGGAGCGCTTAAGTCCGTACAGTCAGCCCGAACCAAGGAAAAAAGAGAAGAGGAAACGTGGATCCGCAGGAATGCTGGGAATGGAGTGGCAATGCCCGAAGCGCTGTTCTGCCCCTGCCGTACGAGGTGTCCTCTGGGGAAAGGACATCTTCCTTGGTTTTTGGCAGGCAAGGGGAAAGAGGGGGAAGAGGGGAGAGGGGGGGCGTCGAGGAGGAATTGAGGAGAGGAGGTGACTAGGAACGGAAGAGGCGTGAGCTGAAAAAGGAAAAGCGGCGAGGTTGCAAGGAAAAGCGACAGGAAAAAGTAGAGAAGTTCTTGGACCTCGAACCTAAGGACCCTATTTCCCTTGAACCAAGTACCTGATCAACTACTGGACAAGATCAGAACCCTGCAACAGGATCATAACCCTGCAGCGCTTCATGTTTGTTCATAGAACTATAAATTTAACTGCAGATTTTCAGTTTTTTAAAAGAAGTTGAAACCCTCTACACATCTTCACTTCGAGTTTAGAGAACTATAGACCCGACCAAGTTCTTTTTGGGCTTGTAACCTCTTCAGCAGCCAACTTTCTGTTCATACCTCTCGTGGTGGTTCCTCTTGACGAATCTTGGCTTGCCGCAGGTTGTGTGCAGGATGGTTGCTTGGGTTGTGCCGCTGTTGCCGCAGTTAACGGTGTTGTTGCTGCTGCTGTCGCTATTGTTCCTGTCGCTGCCGGTCCTGTTGTTGCAGCTGCTTCACCCTGTCCTACAATCCGCAGGTCCGTTGCTGCAGTTTTTGTTGCTGTTGTTGGTGCTCCCTCTCCCGCAACCGCCTGGGGTGCTGCACGTAATGCAGCCTCAACACTCACTCCCGAGGGGCCTCGGATCCGAACCCAAACCCTGATTGAGTGGGGAAATCAATTTCGTAAGTTCAAACACTAAACCTTAACTTTTTCCTTACTGAATGCATATCCCTAAATGTTTATAGGACTATAATGGTGTTGTTGCCGGTGCTGTTGGTGTTGCCGCTGGCTAGCTCCTCGTCAGGCTGAAAGACATTCGTTGGCCTCCACTCCTCCTAACTGTCGCTTAGTGTTCCTGTTCCCTGAATCGAACCAGTGAGCGCCCCTATTGGCGCAATCCTTTTCCACAGATGTTGGGTTGTTCGTTGCGAGTGCGATTCTTTTCCTCGCTGCAGGTTCTGATATCGTTGATTGTCTACGCACTTGCTAAGCTGTTAGCTTTCAAAAACTACTCTAACCTTAACACTGACACATCTTCTTCTTCGTCCTTCTCCTCTTCGAAAGTTGTGTACGCCATCCTCGTTGCTGAGAAAAGAGTGTTGTCACTTTTCAAAGAGAAATTGTAGCAAAGAACACCGGAGTTCCAGTCAAAGATATCTTCAACAATTTCACGTCCTGGCTTGCCCTTTGCGTTTTTCTTGTAAAACGGGATGTACGCTTCGCCTTTCTCCTTCTGTGCATACCAAAGAACCTTGAAACGTTGTCCCAAGAGCAGCTCGACGACATTTCCGATATGGTAAGGTTTATTCCTTTCTTCCTCACCAGGGAAAACTCTAAGTGCGATAAATTTTTCGACCTCCAAATCTTCGTAACGTCCATCTCTTTCTTCGCTGTGTTGTCTGCTCTTTTGGGCCTCTAAAGAAACAGGCCTTTCAGGTGGAAAGAGATCTTTCAAATTGCGGGACACATCATCTTCAGCCGTTGTTTTGGTATTTTCCTCAGACGGCCCTTGTACTGCTGGCCATTCGAAAGGAAACTTGACGTTTCTGTCCTTGAAATCCATATTTTCCTGATACTCGATGAACTCGTTCCACCAAATCACATTGCCTGAAGTTATATACTTCGCGAGCGCCGTGATGTTTGCTTTGAGTGCAACAATTGAAAGAGAATGTTGAACACGTTACTGGAGATCTTCCTGGACAAGCTCACCACCACCGACAAGATCCTCACCTTCATGTTCTTCTCTTCCATAGGTTAATCTGAACCGACCTTCTAAGGATCGTATTGCATGCTTTGGAGCAGCGTAAATCTCGTCTGCTGGCTCTGACCGAAAGATATTCACACCTTCTCTGTCATTCGGTTGCCAAAGCGAATTGTGGTGCTGCTTGTTCCACAGACGCACTTCGCCTGCATCATTTTTCTCAATCCGGAAGTGTTGATTGAAAGTAATGTCGTTGACCTCCCACAAATGCGGTTGAACGTACTTCTTCCAGTCGAATGTTTCGGACATACGTTCAAGAATGACAGACTTTCCAAGTTCATCCTTGTACGAACTCCGAATGACGTGTTCGAGCTTAGGAAGATCGAAAGCCTGTTGTGAGCTGAGTCTACAGTAGAAACTACTAAACATCTGATCAATATCCTTGTGAGTATGAACTACTAGTAGAAAACTTAACTTCACCTTCCTGAAGATATTCATTTTCACTAGGTAACACAAATAGGAAAGTACATATTTGTTCTTATTTTCTTTCGTCGTATTGTCGAGATTCAGATAAAGAACCCGTGGGAAAGGCCTTGGAAGTTCGCAGATTCTACGGTGCAGCACTTTAATCATGCAGTTAGAATCCGACTTAAAGTTGTCAAAAAATAATGTCGCGGATGCCTGCGTTGACCGGCCTAGCACTTTTGCCCCGACAACATGGACCTTAACAAAGTTCCCTTCTTTGACCTTGGAATCTTTTGGGCAATTTCGGAAGTGCGGCAAAATCGTCTTGCTCTGATACATTTTGTCGATGGTGAAACAAACATACTCCTCGGGTATGTTGAAAGCCTTGTGACGGTGTTTGTAGAGCTTCAACCTTTCAGCTTCTTGCAGCAAACGGTGCTTCGTCAATGCTCGGTCGTAAGTTTCTGTTCGCAAGCACCGCAAAAGAGAGGGTTAGCAAAATGTTACTTTCACAATCTAATATAACAAGTTTGCAACTCGTTTTACAAAAAAAAAGTTTTCAAGCACAACGAATGACTGTTTTCTGCTCACTAATTCCTGCCGTGAAACAAAATAATTTATAGAACTATAAATTCACCTACGTCTCAAAAGAAGAATACAAAGAGCTCACTAGCATTCCTTAACGTCAGAGGCATTCCACTTTCTTTAATTGAACACACTGCAGCCTCGGCAGTGTTTGTCCTGAGGCTTTAAAGCCTACAGAAAAATAACTTTTGACTTCCTGAACACCTTGTTAAAACATTGTCTTGGAAACTCAAAGACAAAGCACAGAACAAATAGCATCATCAAAAGAGTCTAAATTTTAGAGCCTTGAATTCAAAAAAATCTAAAACGAACAATAATAACAGATCCCAATCAGGCCCCAGAGTCATTTCCTGTTTCAAGATGCCTAACAAACACTTAGTAGGTCTTAACTACAAATGAATACGAGTTACTCGGACTGGACAACAAGTCACTGCACGAGAAAGTTGAAATCATCCTATGGTAAACTGACAAATCACAGAATATCACCAGAAAACAACAACCATGAAAAGGATCAATTTATAGAACTATAAATTAAATGACATTTGTGAAATTCAGACGAGGTAAAGCACACCAAATCACATGTTCCGTTGCAAAAGGACAACAAACCTCGAATGATTTCTTGTCTGAAACGTTCTAACAAATTTTTTATAGGACTATAGTTCTACTTAATTTCAGTGACTGGGATGGTACACATGCTCTCAAAAATAGTGGTTGAAACGGGTTTAGGTACAAGCCAACAACAGACTGAACTGAAGGACAGTAACCCAGACAGTACCAGATGTCTGTTAACTTACCTCTTTCGATGTGGTTGTCTGCGTTTGCACGACCTGTTTTGAATGCCAAACACTGTGCACAGATGGAAAATCGGTTCGTGGATGGGATCACAACTTTAGGGCAGTGCTCAGTCCAGATCTTCAGAAAGTGTGAAATGGAAGGAATTTTAGACTTCGGAAACTGGATTTGTCCGAGAGATGAAATTGCTCGCTGTTCAGCATGCTTTCTGTGTTCAAGCGGAAATAGTTCTGCATCCAAGCAAGTATCTTCCCCGAAGACGCAGAAAGATCGGAAGACCCTTTGTTTTTGTGCTCGTATGTCCGGACGCCTTTTTTGAATGTATTCCGAATAGCAGCAGTACGCCACGTGGAACATGCATACAGCATTCCCCAAGCCCTTGTACTGTTGTACAAACCTTGATCTTGTTGAACGTGACTCTTAATTGAAGAAGTTCGCCTTCGTCCGAGAAGTAAGACGCTTCTCTCATCTGCTCAAGGAGGAAGTTCACCTGTTCTGTTTGCTTTATTGACCAAAATACTTGGCCCGTCTCAAGTATTTCTTCGACGGAAAATCTTCTTATGCACTCACTGTTGCAACACTTTCCGTTCACTATGTCCTCGATGCTGTTCATGCTCGTGTTCAAGTTCGCCTTCTTGTTGTACACACGAGAACTCTTGTTTCTTTTACCTAAGTTGTAAGGAGCTTTCTCCTCCGCCGATGCTGCTCCGAACATACCTTTGGGTACTTCTTGACTTAAAGTCTCCTTCGCCATTTGAAGCTGCTCCTTGGAGGACTTTCTGTCGAACCTATTTGTTTCCTGCTCTGGACCTTTAGTTGATATCCCTTCTGAAGACAATCGCCGACGGAAACGCTTAACGGGGAAAGTAGACGACACACGACGAACACCCAAAATGCTGCCATTCGCATTCGTTTTCCGCCTTGTACAATCGTAAGCAGCAAGATCTGGCGGCAAATGTAGTTCAGGCTCAAAGACACGTGTCAGAACGACAGGTGTCGTGTGACTGCAATCCTTGTCGTCCTTTCCTGATCGACCTGATGAACTTTCGAAGTTGACGTCCATCTTCCTTGCAGTACTGGTGGAGAAAGAGCAAAGTAAACAGTTCGTCGGTGCGAGACAACTTGAATAGACGTATTGTCTTGTTCTGAAGAGACGCGTAGTGGTCCTTTCGTGTTCCAACTACAGCTCCCCGGAAGTTGCGCAATTCAAACCTCCAGAAGCAACAAAAGAATAGCGGCAGGAAGAGAGAAACGTGTTCAAGACTCACGTGGCGCTCGGTGTTGTTGTCGTGTTTCAACTACAACTCCCTGGAAGTTAAGCAGTTTAGGCAAAAAATGGAGAGAAACGTGTCCAACGCGCAGTAGTGCTTTCGTGTTCCAACTACAGCTCCCCGGAAGTTGTGCCGCTCAAACCTCCAGAAGCGACAAAAGAATGGTGGCAGGCAGAGAGAAACGTGTTCATGCCTCACGTGGCGCTCGGTATGTTGTCGTGTTCCAACTACAACTCCCCGGGAGGCAGCAAGCAGAGAGAAACGCGTCCAAACCTCAAAAGATGCCTCTCATGAGTCGCCAGTGAAGCAAAGACAGAATGACCAAAGTGAGAGTGCCAAACAGAGTATATTTTCGAGCGGGAAAGTCGGAACAGCGACAAAATTTTTCAACCCCCACTGTTTTCCGCCGCGAGCTCTGCTTGGTTGTCGTCCCACTCTTTTTTGCGCCAAGAAGCAGTCCTTTCGTCTTTCACCGAAATTTTGACACTTTCTCGGCCAAAATGCAGGCGGGAACTGGTCTCTGTACTGCACAATGCGCCGAAATATGCCCTAGCTCCAGAGCTACTCTATAGGACTATAAGGGGCCTCGACATATTTTGACTCAAGACAACCAAGCACGTTTCGTGCCTGTGCTAGTGTTCCCGCTTTTGGAAATTATTTTTGCTTTGAAGCGGGAAGAACATAATATTTACAATTTTCGTCTTTTTGCATTATTTTTAGCACGAGGTGCGCTTTCCCGCTGTCTTGAATTGTTACGCCCTGAGCACAGTTTCGAGCGGGAAACCGGCATTTTGTCGCCTCGCCCAATTAAGAGGGGGAAATCCGGAACATGGACAAATTTTTGTAGCTTCCAGTCGTCCCGCTCTCTTTCACGAGCACACTTTCGAGCGGGAAAACCGGCATTTGTCGAATAGGGGACAAATTTCTGTAGCTTTCAGTCGTCCCGCTCTCTTTCGCGAGCACACTTTTGAGCGGGAAACTCGACGTTTGTCGCCTCGCCCAATTTTTTGTGGAAAATCTGAAACAGGGACAAATTTTTGTAGCTTCCAGTCGTCCCGCGCCAGCAGCCACTTTCTTTTCGGTAAAAATCAAAACAGGGTGACTTTCCCCGCCAAATCTGCAAGCGGCAATTAGTCTCAACGGGTTAGATTGTACCGAAATGTGCCTTTGCTCCTGTGCAGTCATTGGGGTCCACCAAGATTGCAAGCGATTATTTTGGGGCGGTGACCGACCACTTCTAGAATACTTCAATTGTTTTGGTGTTGTGACCTACCGCTTTAAGGGTATGTTAATTTTTTGGGGGTCGTAATGTAACTTAAGGGGGGTAAAAACTAGTTTTAGGGGTATGCACTAGGAGTTGGAGGTAGGACTCACCTCTGTAGGGGTAGAGAAACTGGTTTGGGAGTGCGAGCGGGACTAAGGAGGGGTTTAATTAAATATTGTTGTCCGAACTTTGAAGGGGGCTACGACCCCAGCTTACACCAACACTACCTCCACTGCCGTAAAATTAACTTTCCCCACCTTACGGACCGGGTTCTCGGGGGGCGGCGACAGGGAGGTGCAGGTGCGTCCGGTCGAAGCATTCACAACCGCGACTTTAACAATTTTTTGCGAATAGAAAATTTAGCTAAAAGATTTGAACGCTTATTTGCCTTTTTGATTGGGCAAGATCTTGCCTGGTTTAAACATTTATTTGGGGTAGATCTTGCCTGGTTTAAACGCTTATTTGGGGTAGTAAATGATCGTTTTAAGGGAAGGCTGATTTTTCGGGGTCGGAGTGTGACGTGAGGGGTTCGAAACTAGTATTTGGGGTACGCAGTGTTAGTTGGGCGTACGACTCCTCTCAAAGGGAGTGCGAGTGAGAGTAAGAAGGGGTAACATTTTATTTACCATCCGAGGGATGTAAGGGCGATAAAATCGGCCGCTTTAGGGAAACAAATTTTATTTTGGGGGTTTAAAGCGATTTGGGGTATGCTCTTCTTTAAGGCGGGCTTAAATCGGTTTGGGGTCGGGCTCTCACTTAAGAGGGGGCAAAATTAAATTCGGGGTAAGAATGATGACCCTGGGGTTAGGACACACTACTCTAGGATTAGAGGGGGCCAAATTAAATTCGGGCAAAACTTATATCGGGGGTCATAAATTTTGCACACCTTTAATGGACTTGCAAAGCCACTTTACTCTTAGCATTAGAAGGCTGATTTGCTTCAGGGGGGTTAGGAAGGCCTTGTTGGTTAGTTTCATTTAGTTACGTTACCGAACGTACACGTACGGGGCCTTTCCGTACGAAACGTACAGATAATATCTGTACGGGAACCTGTACGCCCTCGTACGACCCGTACGAAAAAAAAAAAAAAAAAACTGTCATCCAAAAAATCCAAAAACAATATATGTCATGTAAAATCCCAAGACAAGCAACATCTCACCATCTGCAGATTCTTATTAGAATTGGAGAAACAAAATAAAAACAGTAAAAACAAATTAAAAAAAGTCGTACGGGCCTTGAGTACGAGTAGCGTACAAGAAATCAGTACAACTTGTATTCGTACGGGGGTGAGTACGAATCGCAACGTAGCCGTTTAGCAACGTTGATTTTAAGGACTAAAAATCGACATAGCTTTAAGTCAATTATCCAACGAAAGAGGGGTCCAAATTTATTTTAGGGGTTGGACGCCAACACAGGGCGAAGGGGAAAGGAAGGCCTTGTTGGTTACCTCTGTTAGCAACATCGATTTATAGGACTATAAATCGATTTAACTTTAGGTCAACAGCCACCGCTAGAGGGGTCCAAAAATTATCTAAGAGTGTCGGATTCTCACTTAATGGGGTCAGTCGGATTCTCACTTAATGGGGTCAAATTAATTTCGGGGTGCCAATAACCTTTTTAGTTCTAGAAATGTCAATAGCAGGCAACATCTCATTTCTCGGACAGGACAAAGGTGAAACAGAAGGAACAATGCGGTAATACGAAGGTCATTGAGGCCGATATATTGGAACTGGTGAAATTAATTTCAGGATGTCAATGATGACTTGGGTCTTGCACAGCACTGCTGTTTTTAAGACTTAAAACTCCCGCTATGCCTCAGGATGATGCAGAGAGAACAACCTCAACCACCATTGTCTCAGTAACATTTGGATGGAATCGCACATTCTCCAGGCAGTACTCAATGCTCTCCTTGCTCCACCCGTGGAATAACGTCGAATCAAATAACAAAACTTTGTTCATTGCTTCCACAGCAGTGTTCAACAATTCCTTAGCATGCCTTGGGATCGCCACATTAAGCAGCCAACCAAATTCACGGGCATAAACTGTAGTTGAAACAAGCAGTTGGATCCTCTGGCATAGGAGATCAATCTGATACTGCTTTGTACAAAAGGGTTTCAAAAAGACGATGGACGACAAACATTTGTAAAGAAGGTTTTAAAAAGACGACGGACGACAAGCATTTATAGAGAAGGGTTTGAAAAAGACGACGGACGACAAGCGTTTGTAGAGAAGGGTTTAAAAAAATGACGTGCGGCGAGCATTCTTAGAGAAGAGTTTTGACTTCGCAGGAAGCACTGTTTTCCCAATTTTCAAGAATGTCTCGTCGCTTTTGTGAGAAATGACAATGGTAGTGGTTCAACGAAAGCGAAGGGCAAACCCTTCAAGGTGCCTACCGGGGGTTCAGGGAGGAAGCCAGAAGCGCCGCTTACCACTCCATCGCAACCAATGGGCGCAACATACACAAGTTCTAGGATTAAGAAGAAAAAAGTGACGATTTAAGGCAATACACAATGCTCTCTTTGCTCCACTCGTAGAATGACGTCGAATCAAATACCAAAACTTTGTTCATTGCTTCCATTGCAGTGCTCAGCAATTCCACAACACTGCTGTTTTTAGGACTTTAAACTGTAAAGTGTGCAAAGAAGTACAAGCATTCGACGATAGTTGTACCCACTATACTGTGTTCCTTTAGACAAACAGGGAAAAAAAAAACATATAACTCTGACGTCGCGGTCAGGGTGTCGAAGGCATTGGACAATGATTTAAATGTAATACTTCGCGTTGACAGCAGTGGAGATGAAGAGGAGGAAGATGATGAAGTTTCTTATGCCTCTAAAAGACCCGTGGAATGACGTCGAATCAAATAACAAAACTTTGTAGAGAAGGGTTTAAAAAGACGACAGACGACAAACATTTGTAGAGAAGGGTTTAAAAAGACGACGGACGACATACATTTGTAGAGAAGGGTTTGAAAAAGACGACGGACGGCTAGCGTTTGTAGAGAAAGCTTCGTGAACTACAGTCAGAACCTGTGGCCTCAAGATTTGCAGCGACTCAATTTTATATCCCACAATACTAGGCTCTACAAATGTCAGGCCGACGTGACATTCCAATAGTTGTGCCCACCATACTGTGTCCCTTTGAACAAGCAGGGGAAAACAAACATGTAACTCTGACGTCGCGTTTGGTGAAGGCTAATGTATCGAACCCTGGTGACCCTCGTCTTGTCAGTGCCGTCGAATTTTGTGTCCTTGGTGATTGGAGCCAGAGTTGAACAAGAGAGTCCGCTCATTATTATTTTGAGTCAACCGATCGAAGACAAAACTTTCGTATTTGTGACGCAGTCACAAAGAAGTACAAGCATTTGACGATAGTTGTGCCCGCTATACTGTGTCCCTTTGAACAAGCAG